TTCAACCACTCAACCACTAGATGTCGCTGAAAACAACAAATCCTACACACTGTGCCTTTAAATGTGCTCTATGCAGATTTTTTTTTAGTAAATTCATATTGTGTAGTTAGGGACACAGTATGAGATGTATTTAATTTTAATCCATCACCTCCCTTCATGTTTGCTATTTCTTTTTTCTAATGCAAGGGTAGCGGCTTTTCATGGCTGCAGGTCTCCCATGTTTGTGATTCTTGTTTTTTTGTTTGTTTGTTTGTTTGTTTTTTTGTCTCTCTTTTGAATGGGTTGTTCCAAACTGTAGTTTCCCTTTGGGATCAATAAAGTATTTTAGAATTGAATTGAATTGAGGAAATCATCTCTGTGACTGCAACTGGGACATTGTCCAGTCACAAAAAAAAAATCATATTTACATGTTTTCCCAGCATCCTTTGCAACTGGGACATTGTCCAAAGGATGCTGGGAAACCATGTAAATATGATTTTTTTCTGACTTTTTACAACAGTGTTGAGTGTGAACTTTGGTTTTTCTTGACAAATTCTTGTTGAGCTTTTGTTAAACATTTAAATTAAAACTCTGTTATAGCCTGTAAATTGAAACCATGAATCAGAAGTTCAGTGTTTAAAAGTGCCTGTGACATGCATACCCATGAAATAAGTCAAAGAAAACATCTTTATATTTAAGAAACTTGGCATAATTCACATGATTTTACCCGTTATGTCACATAATTGGCATATTTTCTTCTGAACTTGGCTCAGTTAAAGTAAAACAGGAAGTGACATCAAAGGGGAACTCGTTGAGAAAGAAATCTCCCTGGTTTTTGTTCACTGAAACAATATTATTTGAACTCTTTCTCATCTCTCAATGATAGTGATTAAAATAATGTAAAGAAACCAGATTCTTCTTTACGGTCTGTGTTGTTGGCCTTTGTAGCAACACTGTTCATGTTCAGACATTCTCCTTTGACATCACTTCCTGTTATTGAACATGCAAATATCTCAACAACTGTCCATCTCACCGACATGAAATCTTTTTTTACAAAATGTTATCGATGTAATTTTTTCAAAAATGCATTCATATTTGCTATAAAAGGTTGATGTCACAGGCACTTTAAGAAGAGAGTGATTTGTCCTTTGCTCAAGGACACACGGTAGAGACTGCTCAATGTTCACAGCCCAGTCTGACACTGCTGCATGTGAAGGTTAGTATTATGTATATCAACGATATGGCAACGCATGTAAGAATTTTAACACTGGACCAGCTCTACACCCTCAGCAGGGTCCTGGAGGGTGCATGGGAGTTTGCCCAACCGGTCTACATGTGTTTTGTGGACTTGGAGAAGGCGTTCGACCGTGTCCCAAGGGGGGCCTTGTGGGGGGTTCTCCGGGAGTGTGGGGTACCGGGC